AACTGTGGATCACACAGTAGCATTAATGCCCACCGTTGGACAATGGAAAGAACACCAAGCTACCTTCGCAAAAAAGTGATTTGGTTATTGCTTTTTAATTAATAAACATGACAGGTAGAACAAATCAATTACTTTCCCTGATGACTCGAGTTCTGTAATTTAATCTAGTTTTGAAAGTTTATACTACAGGTTAAAACAGTTGCATGGATAAAGTCAAAAAATAACTCAATAGAGTTGGACTATAAAGTAATAAAAAAGAAATGAACTAGTCTGAGAACTTGCAGAAGAGCTTTATGCAAAAAGGAAGAAGTAGCCAGATGTTTCCATTTGCCTTTGTATTAGAAAGAGAATTGTGTTTAATAAGGTTTCCCTCACTGCACCCCACCACATAACAGCATATCTCCGCTTCCCACCTCTATGCAAGATCCACCAGGAACTATATAGTGGGTTTGGCATTCAGGAGGTTTATATTCCAAATCCAGCAATTAGAGTATTGATCCTAGAAGGGAATAGAAAGCAAGCGGTTTAGAAAAACAAATCGCTTTGAAGACTTTTACCATTGTACAACAAAAATGGCAAATAGCAAGTCCCATCTAAAAGAGGATTTAGATGATTAATCTGAGCTTCCCCAAGAAAAAAATTCTCTAAAATGCCAAAAAATACCACAAGTCATTCTAAGTGGTTTCACGTTGAAAGCAAAATAACCAACGACAAGTGCTCTACTGTCTGTCTTCAAAAAACCAGGTCGAAAATAAAATTGGTTTAGTTCAGGCATGCAGGTTCTATCTGACATAATTACTAACCAGAATCCCTCGATGTCTACAGAAGGACCTGTATCAGACTATGTTGATGATGTTGTGTTTTTGTTTGTTTGGTTTAGGGATCGCTGGAGGTCAGGAGTTCAAAACCAGCCTGAGCAAGAGCGAGACCCCGTCTTACTATAATAGAAAGAATTATTGCCAACTAATACATATAGAAAATTAGCCGGGCGTGTGGCACATGCCTGTAGTCCAGCTACTTGGAGGCTGAGCAGCAGGATTGCTTGAGCCAGGAGTTTGAGGTTGCTGTAGCTAGGCAGATGCCATGACACTCACTCTAGCCTGGGCACAAAGCGAGACTCTGTCTCAAAAAAAAAAACAAAAAAACAAAACCAAAAATGCAGGTTCTAGTTTCCCCATACTCTGTTTGTCAAGAATTTGCCTGAGAGTTTTGAAAATGTTTTGTTACACTTAAGATGATTTCAGTGGGTTTTCAGAAGCAAGATATAATTCAAGGCTTGTCAGTTGCCTGCAAAGGGAAAAATCTAGGCAGCTATTTGAAGAGGTTAAAATGATTCTTTTTAGTTTTTTTCTTTTTGAAACAGGGTGTCACTCTGTCACCTGGCTAGATACAGTGGCATCATCACAGCTCACTGCAACCTCAACTCCTGCTCAAGCCTCCCCAAGCTAGGAATACAGGCATGAGTTACTGTGTCAGGCCTGAATTGATTCTCACAATCCCAAACTGTTTGCGAAGTTTCTTACAATTCTTTTGTTTTTAAAAAGATAATTACAAAACCCTATACTTACTGTTAGATGAAAATTTTATTTCAACAGTAAAGAATATAACTTGAGTAAAAAAGTTGTTGACCTATTATGATAAAGAAAAGGAAATGCTTCAGTAAGCATATGTCCACATACCTTCTTGAGTGAGATGTCCTGCCAAAGTGTTAGCTCTTTCTCAGATACTTTATTTAGGGAAATTTAAGTTTATGTACTTGCCTTTTCCTGCCTAAACTTGTCCAAAGAATAGGGAGAAATTTTTTTCTCCGAATAGAGTCCTTAAGACTCTATAATGATGTACCATCTTAGTATTTAAAAATGATTGTGGGGGCGGTGCGGTGGTCACGCCTGTATCTTAGCACTCTGGGAGGCCGAGGCGGGCGATCATTTGACTCAGGATTTGAACCAACCTGAGCAAGAGGAGACCTCTTCTCTACTATAAATAGTAACAAATTAATTGGCCAACTAATATATATAGAAAAATTAGCCGGCATGGTGGACATGCCTGTAGTCCCGCTACTCGGAGGCTGAGGCAGAGGATCGCTTGAGCCAGGAGTTTGAGGTTGCTGTGAGCTAGGCTGACTCATGGGCACTCACTCTAGCCTGGGCAACGAAGTGAGACTCTGTCTCAAAAAAAAAAAAAAAATGATTGTGGAATGTGTGTGGACTTGCAGCCTTGTTGCCTTTAACACTGACGTTTGGCAAAGGAATCCTCTTCATTTGATCTCCAAACATGGACTTAAATCTTCTCCCAAACTTCTTTGCTGTGATGAAGTATGAAGGATATTCTATATCTGCCATTGAATTCTTCTGTTTGGATATTGTTTCTTTGGAGTAATGTATCACAACAGAGCCTCTTCGCTTCCGTACCTGACTTATGTGGCAACACACACACATAGTACCCTCTAAGGAACTTATAAAAGTACCCCATCTGTGAAAGTAGACAACTAAGAAGTTATATCTCAAACATTGTCTTCAACTGTCAGGGCACAAAATATTATGATTCTGAGTAAGACCAGTAGGCCTATTTGCTACTTAGAGAAGAATTGAACCTGCTTATTTATGATTTTTTTTTTTTTTTTTTTTTGAGACAGAGTCTCGCTTTCTTGCCTAGGCTAGAGGAGTGCCGTGCATCAGCCTAGTTCACAGCAACCTCAATACTCCGGCTCAAGTGATCCTCCTGCCTCAGCTCCCAAGTAGCTGGGACTACAGGCACAAGCCACATGCCCGGCTGATTTTTATATATATATATTAGTTGGCCAATTAATTTCTTTCTATTTTTATGGTAGAGACGGGTCTCGCTCAGGCTGGTTTGAACTCCTGACCTTGAGCAATCGCCCGCCTCGGCTCCCAGATCTCTCTAAACAAACAAACAAACAATCACAAACTATAGTCTGGAAACAGAGTCTTCCTGTAGCACATGGGGGATTTGGTTATAATTATTAGATAGAACTTGCATCCTGAACATAACCAATTTTATTTTGACCTGGTTTTTTGAAAGACAGAACAGAGAAGCCAACTCTGTCGTTGGTTATTTTGCTTTCAACGTGAAACCACTTAGAATGACTTGTGGTATTTTTTGGACAAATTTTAGAGAATTTTTTTCCTTGGGGGAAGCTCAGATTAATCATCTAAATCCTCTTTAGATGGACCTGTATTTGCCATTTTTGTTTACATGGTTAAAAGTCTTCAAAGCAGTTTGTTTTCCTAAAACGCTTTGCTTTCTATTCCCCATTCTAGGATCAAATAACTCTAATGCTGGATTTGAGAAATCATAAACCTCCCTGAATGCCAAATACCCACTATATAGTTCCTGGTGGAATCTTGCAATAAGGCTGGGAGGATATGTGTATGTGGTGGGGTGCAGTGAGGGAAACCCTTATTAAAACACAAATCTCTTTCCTAATAGCCAAAGGCAATGGAAACAATTGGCTACATTCATTCCTTTTTTGCATAAAAGCTCTTCTGACAAGTTCTCAGACTAGTATTTCTTTTTTATTACTTTATAGTCAATCTATTGAGTTATTTTTGACTATTACCATGCAATGATTTTAACCTGTAGTATAAACTTTCAAAACTAGAATTAAATTACAGAACTCAGGTATAGGGAAAAGTAATTGAATTTGTTCTACCTGTCCATGTTTATTAATTAAAAAGCAATAACCACAATACTTTTTGAAGGAGCTTGGTGTTCTTTCCATTGTCAAGGTAGGCATTAATGCTACTGTGATCACAGTTGAGAGAACCGAAGGGTTCTTAGGAATGTTTTTGTGGCTGAATCCGACCTTTTTGTAGTCAAAATTTAGATTTTGTTTTCTCTTTACCATATAACTTTTTTCGTCTTTAATTTGTTCTCTTAATGCCTGGGTTTAAAACGTTTTAACTCTTCCAGTGGTTGACTTTGTACCTCTTGGGGGAATGTTTGACTTTTTTCCCACGTGACATATTCTCCTTTTCTCTGTGGCAGGTTTTTGTCTACAATGAAGCAGAATGCCCTGCAAGGGTTGGTGCCCAATGAGACAGAAGATTTGAATGTAGAACATCTGCAGCTGCTCCTCCTCATCTTCCACAACCTCACTGAGAAAGGCCGGCGGGCCATACTGACCCTGCTTGTGCAGATCATACAGGAGTTGAGTGTCAACATGGACACTCAGATGCGCTCTGTGCCCCTCATCCTGGCTCGCCTCCTTCTGATCTTTGACTATCTGCTTCATCAGTACTCCAAAGCCCCCGTGTATCTCTTTGAGCAGGTACAGACCAGCATATTCTTTTTGCTTTATGGTTATTGAGAACTTTATTCTCTTCAAGAGTTACCATGATCCAAAGCTAAAATGACCTGCTCACTTTAGGTTTCAGGTGTTCCTCGTGGTAGGTCCATGGGTGGAATTCGGAGAACCACTGGGACTTGCGTGTATGCACTTGCACTTTATGTTTAGCCAGAAGTGAAAAGTGTAGGTAACTTTGATTTGGTGCATTTTTAAAATTGGATTATAGGCTCTGTTCACAGGAGTTTTTCCTTGAATTACTCTGCTCTTCCTGTGTCTAAGAGACACTGAGATGGATGGAGGATCGCAAGGAAGCTGAAGACTGAGGCTAAATCCTCAGGAATGCTGACATTAAATAGGAGTGGAGCCTTGGCCATCAATGAGTATTTGTTAGTGGTTGAATGCTGTTCAGCAGTAAATTGTATGGATGGGTAAATTACCTTGTTGTAAGGATCCAAAATGAGGATAGGAGGGTCAGTTAAGGGTTATTATGTTCAGCATTGCTTAAAATGTTTTATTGAGCACTATTCCCTTTGTGCTTCATCAAAATATGCTTTCCAAAAGAAGTTACAGAAAAACCTTAAAATTTTTAGTTTGGTTTGATTTTCCCAGGCTTTGGTATACCAAGGCAGAATGGTGACTGCATCTTTCTTAATTTGAGTATTTTTGTTTTGAAAGGTGCAGCATAACCTACTAAGTCCTCCTTTTGGATGGGCAAGTGGGTCCCAGGACAGCAGTAGCCGCCGGACAACCACCCCTCTCTATCATGGATTCAAAGAAGTAGAAGAAAACTGGTCTAAGCATTTCTCATCAGGTCAGAAAGAAGATTGTCTCTAAGAAATTGACTTACTGATTCTGATTGGCAGGGTTGAATTGAAAGCCTAGAGATTCTTAGAGGATCTTTGGTCATTTTATTTAGTCTACTCTCTATGGGTGGCAAATCATCTACAATTTAAAACATTTTTAGGAATGGACTCCCACATGCCCCAAATTTATTTTTTTTTAAATTAAGACACAAGATATTAGGAATCTGACTAGGTACGGTGGCTTGTGCCTATAATCCTAGCACTCTGGGAGGCCAAGGGGGGAGGATTGCTTCAGGTCAGGAGTTCCAGACCAGCCTGAGCAAGAGCAAGACCCCTGTCTCTACTAAAAATAATTAGCCAGGCATGGTGGTGCGCACCTGTTATTCAAGCTACTTGTGAGGCTGAGGCAGGAAGATCACTTGAGCTCAGGAATTTGAGGTTGCCATGAGCTAGGCTGACACCACAGCACTCTAGTCCAGATGACAGAGCGAGACTCTGTCTCAAATCAGACTAAACGACATACAATTATCCATTAATATAAAAAAAGGGACATATAACACTACTTTACAGTAGAGTTATTATGAAGTCTCAAAACAAATAAATCCTCACTGTATTAATTGCGTAGCAACTTAGACATACAGAAAGCTTTGATAAATGGTAAATCATACACACAGGCAGAGAGGGAGAGAGTGAGAGTATAGCAGTTATTATTTTAGTATTATTCAAATCACATCCATTTGCTTACCCAGAGTGTTTGCCTTGCACCTACTAGAGCCAATACGAAAACAGCAGCAAAGCCCTGCAGTTTTCCTTGGAAGGTTTATCAGTTGTTCCCTCTTCATTAAAGTTCTGTAGCAATAGGCTCTGAGGGAAAAAAAATAGGGGGGATAGGTGACACTATAAGGATCTAATCCCATCTAGGAGAAACGAAGCCTAGACTAGTTGAAAAAACTATATCTCAGTTTCCTATTCCATTAAATATAACAGATATTATCTGTCCTCTCCTGGTTTCATAAGAATTCCAATGGGTAATTGTTCCTCCAAGAATATTCATCCTCTAAATTGCTCCCAAAATATAGATTCTATGAGAATTTTGGAAAACAGTGAATACTACACATCCATCTCCCTTCCCCCACCTCAGAAAGACTGGCAATGTACAAGCTCTGAGAAGTACTATGTTTTTTAATGAACAACAAAAAACAATATTTGATTTACCCCAACATTTCCCAAACCTTACTTGCCCAAGACATAACAGTACAGAACAGAACACTGGCTTAATAGCAACACTGGAGCTTACAAACTCCCGGAGGCAATGATTTGGTCTGCTTTGGCTATTGCTATAACCTTAGCACCATAGAAAGTACCTGGCACACAGCAGGCATTCATATTAGTTATTTATGTTTATCACTCATATTTGTTCGAAATTTGCCTCAAGCATAGCCCTGTCTCTACTGCAAGGCATTTTAAGTTTTACAAAGATCCAGCCCCTTTCAGCATAAAAACCCCACAGAACAGGAGCTGAACAGTTGAGTTTCCCTATAAGGCCCAGATAAAATAAGCGTGAGAAGGGTCAGTGACAACTGCCCACAAGGGGAAGCCTCTCTCAGCTCCAGGCTATTACTGTCATTTGAGAAATCAGACCCGTTCTTGCCAGCTTTCCAATTTTAAGAAGAGCAAAGTCTCCACTTATGATAATTCTCAACTCTGCATGATGCATAGGTGTCAATGGTTGTAGTCGTGGCTGGAAGCAGGTTCTTGGTGTCTCCGGATGACTTATGAGGATGCAGTTCTCAGCAGCCCATTTAGAAAATGCTCATCTAAAGAGACTTGGACCTTCGAGATAGCAGCATCAGTTGTGGCTGCAGACTGGATTCTGGTTCAGTGGTGGTGCAGTCCATCTAAGAAGATGAGTCTATTTAAGGGCTATCAATGGATAATTGTTGGGCAAGGCTGTGGTGAACCGTTCTGTCATCAGGTTCCCAACCTACTCCTGTCTACAGTATTCTCTACACTTTCACATCATCTTCACTGAGCTACACTTGTGGATGCCGAGTTCTATGAAGAGACCAGCATGTTCAGCCTTCGATGTCCCTGTTTGATAAGGTTCTACTTGGACAGCACGAGAAAAGTGTTAGGGCCATACGCAGAGTTAAAGCTTTTACTATCCTTTAAAATTTAAAAGTCCTATAAGCACACGAGCAAATTAGCATTGGCTTTGAATATCCTTAGCAGCAAACTCTGTGTTCCAGCTGTGGTACCTTTATCCAGTTGACATAGGAGGCTGATTCCGGGAGGCGGGAAGACCACTCCCAGAGTTGTAAGGCGATGGTCAACCATTACAGCTCATTCCAGGTGAGTTCAATGGCCCAGGTTGGTTGCCATGGTAAGTCTTGATCGTGGCAAAACCCCCAGGATCTCACAGTATCAAGGAAGCTAATATTGAAAGGGCAACATGCCTCCTTAGGAGAAGCAAAAGGCAACACAGAATAGCATGAGTGTTCGCCCCAAGATCTCCCCCAACAAAAAGACACTGCCCCGAAATACAACTTTTAAGTAGAAGTGTGGTAGAGTCTTGCATTTTCAACTGAGATTTGGCCCTCGAGTATCGCTCTCTTAGATCGCTTCTCTAGAAGAGCAGCTAATAATAGAAGCAGAAACGGCATGGTAAAACACAAATACAAATTAAATTTTGTTCATATTCTGCACAATCATGAGACCACAGAAAGGCAGTTCTACCGGACAAACTGTTTGGCTCTCCAATAAGTGTTAGCCAATTACTGAAAGAGAACAGTAACCATCTGCTGCTTGGCAGGCCCGCACAATAAGCCAGCCGCTTTCTATGGCATGGACATCCCTGTTACCTCAGCTTCTAGAAGTAGAGGTACACATTTCAGGAACCATAAGAATTTCTCAAGTGTGAGGCTTTCAATATTATGGCAGAAATCAGCATTCACAGGAATAAGTAGTACTCAGAGGGCCATTAACTCTCCAAAGTCCACAGTTTCTCTCAATGAGTAACCAAAAAATACAATGCCAAAATAATATAGAATTACCTCAAGGTTAAACCATAACCACTCAACAATACCTAGAAATACTGAAGTTATCAATCAGGTTTTGCAAACAGTATGCGTCAATACAATGATTAGGCTATCCCAGAAAGGAATTTCTGGTAGACAATTATCTAACAATTTCCACAACACAGCCGAAATCCTTCTCCAGGTTTCCATCGATCCTGTACCAGAGTGTTATCGTCTTGTTCTCCTTCCTCCTGGACTGTATCAGCTGGATGCCAAGCTGCAAGCAGGGTTTGTCAGTGCAGTGATAAAGGCTCATCCATACTTGACAAGCTTGGAGTAAAGAACGTCACCATGCCCTAACATCAACAAGACCAGAAAATTGTTAGTGTGTATTTTGAAACATAATTTTTTCCTACCTGGCCTATGCACTAACTGGTAACTCATGATTGACAAAGTATTCCATCAAATTATCTTATTAATTTCCTCGCAGCAGGATTTGCCATTCTGAGACCCGCTCACGTCCAGTTTGCAAAGCGTATTGGACCACACACAGTACTCCAGGCTTTCGCGAAGAAAGCACCTCTTTTCTGTGCCTTCAAAATATGTTGCACTCGCAAATGCCATCCAAAGACAGTCCTCAGCATAACATGGCCAGGCAGGCGCGAACTACAGAAGAGCAATGCACGCCAAACGCCCAGCCTACACCGCAAATTATTTTACTCCGCATAATACAATCCTCTTTAATAGGCCAATGCCAATAGCAATTCCATCCATTCCAGAACAAGTAAACATGTCCCCTTCTCACTCCTGACGGCTGATTTTGGTGAAGCCCCATCGCTGACCAACCTCTGTAACAAAAGGGTTTAAAATTCCTGCGACAGATCAAGTCGTCAGAATCATCTCCTTGAAAGGCTTCTTGGGGATAGGACACAGTAGAATCTGGGTTTGTGGGAACAGCATTCCTGAAAAGCATATGTGCTTATCTATAAAGAATGGTTTTCATTCTCAACTCAGTCCTAATAGCTTAAAAAATAAAACTAAGAAAATACATTTAGAACAAGCGTTTCTCAGCCTGGCAAAATACTGACATTTGGGTCAGATAATTATTTTCTGTGAGTATTATCCGGTGCACATCAGGAGATGTAATAGCATCCTGGCCTCTAGCGCCACTAAATGCCGAGTAGCAATCCCCCCAGGTTGTATAACCAAAAATGTCTTAGAAATTGGAAGATGTTCTTTGAGGCAAAATGACCCTAGTTGAGAAGCCATTGCTCTAGAAGTTAAATAAAGTACTCTATGATCACAATTAATTTACACATTATATCATTGAAACTGAACAAATTAAATTTAAATGCTGTTGCCTCTGACTTATCAAAGGGACCAACATAAGAGAATGATAATAAACTCTATACTAAGGCATCATGAAAGTTTCCACAAAATACACTTAAGATCTAATAATTCTCAGCATTAAGTAACACGACGATTAAATGAACAAGAGAAAATACCTAGTACAAAAACAATTAATATATGAGAGTGACAAGAATCCATGTACTGTACCCTATGGTCAGATATAAAGGATTCCTAATTCTTTTTTTTTTTTTTGAGACAG